TATTCTTCAGAAAGGAACAGAGATATTTTCTAGATTAAAAAAGCTGAGGAAATTTGTTCTCCCCATACCTGTATTATAAAAATGCTAAATGGAAAACATGATGCTAAAAGAAAATAAATTAATGAGGAGCACAAAACATGTGAATGAGAACACACTGTAATGTTTTTATTTGACAGAAATTGCTGTAAATGTTTTGAATGGATTCAGGACACGAAGGCAGCCACAATAGCACAACTAAAGACATTTGTGAAAGTAGAGTTCCAGAACTGCTTTAGAAAGTTACAGGAACAAGGGGGTAAGTGTACTCAAAATTAGGAGTAGCATTTTGAGGGAAATTTAATGGCAATGTGTTTTCACTGCAATAATTTTTTAAAGAAATTTTACATATTTACATCAGTTTTTTATCACACCTTGTGCAGTTAATTTCAGAATAAAGATAATATTCATGATATGTAAACACCTATCTTTAATATGAAGATTAACCACAGTATTATTTAAAATAACAGTTTAATAATGGATAGGCAGTAGAGGTAGATTGTTACATCAAAATTCAAAATGGCAGGGCATGGAATGTTATATATAACTGAGCTGTATGAGAACCAAATCAAATTTCCTCATAGAGTCAATGCTGAACCTAACTATTAAATTTGATTCAGTTCTCATCCAACTCAGTTTGTGACCAGAATAGTGGAAAGAATCAAGCTTGTGGGGCCAAGGATTTAGCTCAGTGGTTCCGGCGCCTTGCCTCGCAAGTGCAAGGTCCCGAGTTCGATCCCCGATACCAAAAAAACCAAACAGAATCAAGCTTGTGAACTGAGGTATATATGAATATATATATATATATATATATATATATGTGTGTGTGTATATATGTATGTATATGTATTTATGTTGTGTGTGATAAAAGTTGAATTATTATCAGTTTAAATGACCTGTTTTCCACATGGAATATTATCTGCAAGCCTCATGGTAACAACAAAGCAAAAAATTTATAATAGGGACACAAAATGTTAAAAATTAAGAAACCAAAACCATACTAATAAAGAAAAACACTGAACCACAAAGGAAATGTCAGAGAGGAAGAAAAAAGAGAAAAGATTTATAAAACAAGTCATTCAAAAACAATGAACAAAATGACAATAGTAAATAATTTACACTAAACAATTACCTTGAATGTAAATAGATAAAATTCTCCAATTAAAAAAAACCACAGTTACTGAACATGTAAAAATTATGAGCCAAATATACACTGTGCACAGGACTCTCTATACTTGCAAGGGCAATAGAGACTGAACGTGAAGGGTTACAAGATTCCAAGGAAGTGGAAGCCAAAAGAAGCAGGAGTTGCAATACTTACATCAGACAAAATATACTTTAAGTCAAAACCTGTGGAAAAAAAAAAAAGGGACAAAGATCCTCCAGACTCAAAGCTATGCACCTACCCATGATGACAATGTCTGGAGCCTATCAAGGGCCTTTAGATAGGCCCTCTGTAGAGTAACTGACTGTTGATCACAACTATGACCCTCTTCAGCTGGAAGTAGCCAGAATGGTCTTTGCCCTTTGCCTCCTCACAGCAGTTAGGGATACTTCTTCAGAGGATGGAATATTGTAGATAGGTAAGTTAATTAGATGTTGTGTAGGCAGTTAGACAGGGCCAGCCCACGAGGAGCCAACATGGAGGATAGTCAAGACATATTCACTGAAGGCCAGCATTGTAACAGGAGAGAAACTAGCACACCCACATAGGATAAATAGCAGTGATTGATATTCTAAATAGGTATCAATCACCTGAGTAGGGGACCAAGATCTTCCAAGAAAGATCGCTGAACCACCCCTTACTGAAAATCCTTGCTCATTCCTTGTATGCTTGCTAAGTGACTTGCTTCCCCATTGGATTCCCATTTAATAAATATTACCTAAGCCACTATACTTGTCATAATCTTATTGGTTGCACATAGGTTTGTCCACCTTGTGATTTGTCATTGGATCAATATTACCTAAGCAACTGTACTTGTAATCTTACTAGTTGACTATAGTTTTGTCCCACCCTGAACACGCCTCACCTCATGGCTTTGTCCCATAAAACACCTTTGAGAAATTGGGTGAGAGAGCAACCCATTTTCCAATCCCCCTTCTGTCTCTTTCAGACAGAAGCTATCTTTCTCTCAATAAATTTTTCCTATTCTAAAAAAAGAAAAGGGACAAAGGATGTGATTATACAATAATAAAGGGAATAACTCAACAAAAGGATATAAAATTATATACATACTCAACGATAGAGCACTTAAATATATAGATCAAATGTTTATAGAGCTATAGGAAGAGATAGACTCCAATACACTAAAAATAGAGAATTTCAAAGCCCCACTTTCAGCAAAGGAAAGAATATAGAAAGAAAATCAGCAAAGAAACATGACATTAAATGCTCTCAAGGCCATAGGGGCCTAAGAGATATGTGCAGTTGTTCCATCCAACAGCTGCAGAACACATTCTTTTCACCAGCATGTACACAGTCTCAGTATAGAATATACAGAGGCCCAGGAAAGTCTTGCAAATCTAAGATCAAAATCAAATCAAGTATTTTTTTCTGATCACAGAATTAAACTTCTGAAACTTTAGAAATTTAACAGCATGCTCCTTGTAAATAGGGAGGGGTGGAGGGGTTGAAGGGAGGGCAAGGGAATGGGGAAAAAAATAGGAACCAAGATACATCATGTAAAGGTACAAGTTCCCAAAGATGAATGGAACTGTATTGTACACCTAAAATGTACCAATAAACTTAACGAAAAAAAAACCCCAACATGCTCCTGAACAAACATGGGTCAATTAAGTGATGTTAACAGTGTATTGACACAGATAAAATAAAACCCAAAGTGGCTGAAGAATGATGATAAAGAAAAACACTCTGAGGCCCTTAGAGACCTTCAGACAAGGAAGATGGGGCTGCACAGAATCTGAGGTGAGAACTGCAGAGGATGCAGTGCTTGAGGCCATAACACCACTAGCTGCACTGATTCTAGAATGAATGGTCTGTCCCTGGTATGCACATTTCAGTAGACTTGCAAAACAGGTAACTGTCCTGATTTGTGTCAGTAAATCTTGTTTCTCTCCAAAGAATACTTAGTTGTAGCTCTTACTCCCAGGAATACTGAGTTGTATTCCCCTTCCTGCCTCAGTCACACTATGGCTCAAACACTTGCTCCTTAGATTTCTGAAAGAATTTGTGTCCCAATCTGCAAATCTGTTCTGCACTTGTATAAAATTTCTTATGCTTTCATTTTGGCCTCATTTCTCACTATTTTGTTTTCATTTTGGTGAACATGAAGGGTGCCCCCCAGCCTCTCAGAACCTGGAGCCTGCCAGTGACAGGAGACCCTTTTTCTCCTCCAGCTCCCGGTGGCCCAGGGGAGCCTTAATGGACTAGGCTCCCAGAATCTGAAGCTCTCACTTCTAGTCAGGTTCATTTTATTTGAGTGTCTTTCCTGGAAGGGTTCTTTCATTAGATATGGTAGGCCTCTTGTAGGCTATCTTTTGGGTTAATATTCCCACTAAAGTTTGTATTTTTGGCCAGTACTATTTGTTTTCTCAGGGAGAGTTTGGGTGAAGGTAATTTTCACTTTCCTTGGGTTCTGGGGCTAGCATTGGGCAGAACTTAATGTAAATCCATCGAGATAAGCTGTCTCCTGTAGCACTGGGTAGAATTTAATTCAACCCTGTCAAGGTAAGCTGTCCTCCAGAATTTCTGGTAAATTTTCACTGGATGTCATGTCTGTTCAAAACACAGTAGTTGACTCCTACTGACATCTTGTGGCCATTTCAAAAATTCTAATTGGAAAATTTAAATTGAACAGTTTCCTACAAAATAGAATACAAAATAGGATACAAAAAGAGATACTTGCTGCTTTGAACCTCTTGAGGGTCTTCTTAAGCAACTAGAGTCATCTTGAAAGTGTCAGAACTTATGGTTGATATAGCAGCCTTGCAGAGATCTGCAAATAAGCTACCCCATTCCTAGGTGAACAGGAACATGAGGGAGGAAGGAGGGGTGTGTTTCATAGACTTTTCATCTCAGCACCTTGAGCAACTTCACCCAAGCAGGGTGCAGGGTCCCTCCTGAGACACATAACAGAGGCCATTGATGCAACTGGTGACACTTTTGGAGTGAGGCCCTTGAAGTGGCACCTTTATAACACAAAGCACGTATCCTCGCATATTGGCTAATGTAAAGCAGCTTTTCTAATTTTATAGAAAGTGGGCAGTCACCCTTCTAAAAACTACACTGATAGGCAAATGCCTTCTGGAACATGTTCAAAAGTTCAAAAGTTGTTCAAAAGTTACAGGCCATTATTTTGCAATGGCCTGTCACAATGGACTCGTATCACTTGGGATGATTAAAATTATCTTGACCAGTTTGAGAACTTTTGATACTACTACATTTACCTGTTTTTGTGCTTATCTGGAAAAATGAAATGCCTTGTCTAAATTCCCTAACATGGGTTATACAATTTACTTTACTGTTGAGAGACTGATAAGAAACATGATGGGATGCCCACATTCTAGAACATGCAAACACTCCAGCTGGCTATATTATGATTCAGGCTCATGCATGTTCCACTTTTATTAATCAATGAGATAGGCTTAATATTTAAAGGCCTTTAAACTCAATTTTTCTCTACTTATTTTGAATCTGTTAGAAATTTGCTTATATCAAGACAATATTGTTCAAGGTCACTTAGAAATGTGTTAATCACCCTTAGCTAAAATAACATCAAAAGTTAACTCCTAAACTCATTTGTGGCTGAAAAAAGCAATGAAAAGTTAAAAAGAAGCTTTAAAAAGTCAAACTATTATAGTGTGGTGGATTAACTAATGGTCAACTTGGAACGTCCACCTAAACTCAATCAGTATAGTTCTGGGCATGGAAGATACAGCTGAAGATTGTTGTCAATTGCATAAAAAGAGAACTGGTGAGGAAGTTCACACGCTGTTGATTTTTCTAGGACGAGCTTGCTGTGGCTGGTTTTCGTGAGGCAAACTTGGCTGTTCTTGTCATTGGAGGAGCTCAGGTTCTCACTGTCACTGGGAATGGCTGCTGTTCTCATCAGCGGAGGTATGGTCTTCTCCTTGAGCATTGCTTCCTGGCTCTAGTGCAGATCCCTCAGCCTAGTGGCACAAATCCTTTACTCCACCAGCACAGGCTTTCTAGCTTCCACCACTTGCCTTTGGGCCTTCCTGGTGCAGATCCTTACTACGGACTTGCATGAGACACTGCCGTGGGCTCTAGGCCTCTGTCAGGACATTGCCTTGGACTCCCGGCCTTCAGCTGGACTTGTGTGGGGCATAGCTGTGGGATCCAGGCCCTCGGCTGGATTCTTTGGGGCTCTAATGCACAGATAGATCTCTTGCACTCTTCTGCATTTGACATTTTGGGTGAGTATTATAAAATAATCCTATAAATTATGTGTCCTGTATTAGATCTATTCCTTTGTGAACCCTGACTACGACATACAGCAACTATTTTATTCCAAAATTTGTCCCACAGCTTTCAAAAACCTATCAACTTTAAATTTAGTCACAGGAACAGATGCCTTGAACTTGTCCCATACTGTCAGAAACATAACTTGGATTCAAATGTCTTTTTATAAACTGGCAACTTGTACAATAGCTTTTTCATCTCATGACTAAAATTCAAAAAATAGCTAATATTTGTTACTATGTGTATATGTGTGTTTGTGCTTTAAACATATGTGCATGTTGTATGTTATATCTATGAAATAAAATCCCTAAATTTTTAATTGGCTTACAGATAAATAAATGTTCACATAAATTAAAATGTTAAATTAAGTTGAATGAATTCACCCAACTTGAGTAAATCATAAATACTCTGGTTTTAAATGTTAGTAAAATGAAAATAAATATATCTTCAAAATTTTGTCATATGTAATTGCCTGGTTTGATGACCAGATGGGGTAATATTTATTTCCATTAGTTGTGTAAGATCATAAACATATAAATTTGATCTAAGAATAATACAAATGAAAGTGCAATACAGTATCCATTCTTTCCTATGTACTGTATGTAACAATTGAATTTTGACAAGGAAATAACTTCAAATTACTATCATGATTAGCCAATATCCAGATTTTGTGTGCAGTCTAGGAATAATTGTTGAAAAGAAGTTAGTAAATGTAAATAAGACATAATTATAAACTTCTCATAATTTAAATCTTAATATGCTTGCTAAATATATATAAAACAGGTATAATTTCTTAAACTAAAATACTAGAATATCAATTGCTAAATATGAACTCAAATCAAATGTTTTTAGATATTATGAAATGTTTTGATGAATAGTTGTTACATGGCAAATTTCTGGTTATATATAACATACCAAATTGAACCATGAAGACATAGAAAATGTAAACAGACCAATAATAGTGAGATTAAATTTGACAAAAGCCTCCCAACAAAGAAAAGTCCGGGCTTTGCTACAGAAGTCTATCAAACTTTTAAAGAACACCAATTATTTGAAAATTATTCCAAGAATTTTATTTTACTTCCCCTAATCCCCCCTCTCCCTTCCCATCCTTTAAAGAATTATACCATCTCTGTGGAGCCTACCTCCCTTTTGCTTAACATGGCTCTTTATTCTGCTCTTTAAATTATTTATATTTTAGGTCTCTCATATTAGAAACCCTGAGATATTGAACCTTTTGCAACTGACTCATTTCACTCAGCATTAAAGTCTCAAGATTCATCAGTTTTCCTACAAATGACTCAAATGTATCCTTTGTAATGGCTGAGTAGTTTTTCATTGTGTATATGTACACTTTCTTTATCCATTAATCTGTTGATGAGCATTTAGGCATGTACATGATTTACCCATTGTCAGTTGTGGTGCTGTAAAAGTAGGTACTTACATATCACTGTAGTAGGGTGAACTTGTCTGTTCTGTGCTGATGCCCAGGAAAGGTATAGCTTGGTCAAAGGGAATGTCTTTTTACTTCTTTTCTCAATTTTTATTTTTTATTAGTACATGTGTTACTTTTCTCTCATTGCTGAGACAAAATACCCAACACCCAAAGTTAGAAGGAAGGGGTTTATTTGGCTTACAGTTCATAGAGGTTTCAGTCCATAATCAGCCAACTCCAAGGCAGGGATGACAACCAGGCACAGCAGAGCAGAAACAACATGGCACACAAGGCAGCAAGGGTAACAAGGGAGTTAACAGCATCTTCCTGCCCCTTTTGTCTTATTCAGGCTACGTAGGGTGGGCAGCACTCACACCCTTAATCCTAGTGCCCTTGAGCTTAGCATTGCACCATGAATCAATTCCAGCTTCACATACTCTAGATCAAGCCTATGACCACATGAGGCTTTGGGGGGACATCTAGGCCCAAACCACGACAGTACATATTTGAAGTGCCTAACAATTATATTCCTGTGGGGAGTTGGTACTTATACATAGACATCTTAAATCTTTTTTCATTCCCTTTCACTCCTCTTGCTCCATGTCATGGTCTCCTTCCCTTTTACAAAATATCTATCTTTCTATTTCCTATTATTTTTCAATTTTACTTTTTATATTTTGGGTTCTCCTGTAAGAGAAACTATGCAATGGCAATGTATAAGCTGTATATCTGATTTATTTCGCTTAACCTTATGGTCTCAAGGTGCATCCATTTTCTTACAAATGATTCAAGTTTATTCTTCTCTGGCAGAGTAGTACTCCACTGTGTGTAAATGGCACATTTTATTTATCCATTCATCTGTCTCCATACTGATTTCCAAAGTGGTTTTATTAATTTACATTTCCACCAAGAATATATAAGGCTTCTTTCACCGTAACCTCACCAGCATTTGTTATTTTCTGAGTCCTTGATAATGGCCATTCTTACTAGGGTAAGGTGAAATCTCAGTGTTGATTTGAATTTTATTTCATAATGGCTAAAGTTGCTGAATATTAAAAATGATTTTATTAGCCATTTGTATTTCTCCATCTGTTAAGTGTCTATTTATTGTAATTTCCCTGTTTTGATTGGGTCTTTAATTTTGGAGGTCTAAGTTTTCAAGTGCTTTAAATATTCTAGATATAAGTCCTCTGTCTGAGTACCACCTATGGAAGACTGGATGGGAATAATGAGGTCTAATTGGCTTCCTCGGGGAGCACTGAGAAGAAAGAGGGCATGCAAGCGTGTAACATGCCGCAGGGAAAATTAAAAACACCTGAAGTTAAGTTCTTTACCCAGAGAAGTACCATGGAGGATGGGAGACAGATGAGTCCTGTGAAACCTTAATTGCTTGTGTCTGTGTCTGAGTGAATAAAACCAAGGTGCAGCAATCATTTGGGTCTCTATGTTGAAGGGAGACATGAACCCCCTGCCCTTGCCCAGATTTTAACCTGTTTCTGTGTCTCTTTGTTTTTCATCCTTGTGAACCCTTGGTCAGATTCAAGCTTTGCGTGGGCTCTTAGTTTCTTTTGACATTTTATATTTTTGTCATGAATTCCTCACTTTTTGATACTTTATGATTACCCTGATCATGTATTTACCATCCCATTCCTGGTATTAGCCATTTCTTCAGAGCCCTGGCTCTTTTGATAAAAGAACAGTATTAAAATCTTACATGAGTCAGCTAGACATGGTCATCTTATATTGACCCTTATGACTGATACTGAAATGAACTGTAGGTGTGCACTCTAATTTGCACATACACACCTAGTTATAAATATTTTATGTGGAATAATCAGCTATACATAGGTTTATATTTATACTGTTGTCTCCAATCAGTGGACTCTGATCAATTGTAATCCCAATCAGACTTTTCCCCTTATATCTATAATTTTTCACAGAAACTTGACCTCTGACACCTGCCACTCATATAGTTTATTGTTCCATTTTAATGAATTCATTTGTGTTCCAATTACAGGTTGTAGCCCCATAAGTATATATTTGTTACTTGTCCTCCTGGTAGAGAAATTATTGTCATAATTTTTTAAGTGATGGGCTGTTAGGAACATTTTCTGTTCTAGTGTTTGGTCTTTGATCTTGGTTCCTTACATGGGTGACCAAATTGTCTGGACCTTCCTAGCTGATAGGAACAGCTTCATTCTCATAAGGATTACTGCAAACCTTTACAATGGTGGACAGTTGCCAGAAACCACATCTGCAATAGAAGCTTGGCACTTTCATCTCCACACCCCATTCTCTGGTGGAAAGGAAGCTGGAGATGGATTACCTAATTGGTGATGCCTATATGACTAAGTCTCCTGAAAAATCCCTGTAATGTGTAGTTTAGGGAGCTTCTGAGTCAATGAGTATATCCACGTGCAGGGAGGATGGTGTGCCCCAATGTCATGGGGACTGCCCTGGGGAACTGTCTTAGATCTCTCGCTGCACATCTTTTCATGTGGCTCTTCATGTCACTCCTTTATCACACCCATTGTAATCAATGTTCTAGTCTTCCCAGGGTTCCTTAGAAAAACACCTGAAAAAATTATTGTCTACAGTTTTTTAGCCTGGAGAATACAAGATCAAGCCATGGGCAGATTCAATGGCTGGTAAAGATATTCTCTTTACAGGTGGTGATTTATATCCATGTCTTCACATGGCAGGATGTGGAAAGAGACTCCTACAGGACTCTTTTACCAGGGCTCTTCTTCACTCTTTGCATTTCCTTGTGGTTTAGGTCTGCAGCTTTTGGCCCCTATCTGGAGGGTCACTAGTGTTTTCATACCTTTCTGATACAATTAGATCTCTTTTCACAGCCTGTATTCCATCCTTGGATATTTCCATCTCCTCAATAATTTGATCTAATCTGAAGTGGTTGGGATTTTCATGGATCTCAAATGCATAGTGCCTCTCTTAAGATGTTATACTAAAGACTTTGAACTCTAACCCATGCAACCACTATTCTGGTTTTCATCTCTGCAGTTTGGCTTTTCAAGAATGTGTGGGTTTAATCTCTTAGGAAGACAGAGGTAAGATTTAATTATGTCTTTATTTGGGTTGATAGTTTACTCATATTGCCAAGTATCTTCCATTGTGTGGGTATAGATAGCATAGTTTAGTTCAGCGTTCTGGAGTCTATTGTGATTACTTCAGGTTCTACCCAGGAAGAAGAGAGCTGTTGTACATGACTATGTGCTGCATCTTTTCTTCTGTTTGTTTGGTGGTGTATTTTGGTTTGGTTGTAAATTTTCAAAGAAGTTGTCTAAATACAGACAATTTGAGAGTGTATTTCCTAAATCATAAGGTTAGACTTGCTTAGCTTGGTAAACGTCACTGGGTCATCTGAACTGGGTGTGCCATTTGGCACCTACCACCAATGAATGAAAATTTCAGTTGCCTCTCTCCTCCATCAATCAGTATAGCAACTTTAATTTTTTTTTTAGACTTTAGTAGTTCTAATCACCATGACATGCTATCTCATTATCATTCCAATTTGCAGTTCCCTGAATGACATATGATGTGGAACATCCTTTAGTTTTAACTATTAACCATCTTTCTTTGGTCAGGGGTCTGTTTTGATACCCACTTTCAATGGATTGTTCATTATTCATATGAAGAGTTATTTTGTATTCATGTTGTTTCCCAGATGTGTTTTGTAAAGTATCGCCATATGTCGCTTATCTTTTTGTTCTCTAAACAGGATCATTCACAGAGTAGAAAATTTCATTTTGGGGCTGGGGATTTAGCTCAGTGGTTTTGGCGCCTGCCTCGAAAGCGCAAGGTCCCGAGTTCGATCCCTGGTACCAAAAAAATAAAAATAAGAAAATTTCATTTTACAAAGTCCACATAAGTGATATATTTTCTTTTGTGAATTTCATTGAAAGGGTTTGAATGTTCAAAATCATCATTGGGTCCGAGATTTCATAGACTTTTTTTCCTGTTTTCCTCTAGGAGTTTTAAAAGTGAGTTTGTGTGTAACATTTAATGTGTGCATCTACATTCACTGAATATTATATAGCTCCTGAGTACTTGCTCCTTCACCATTTTTGGATAAAAATATGGGTAGAGGGTTTCAGTTAGAATTTCTAAAGTGATGGCAATAAATGAGGATATTCTTGCTGACTTCACTTTGCTGACTTCATTTTTCAGGAAGACCAGGAGAAGGCGCCATGTGCCCTTTTGGACTGCTGAGTCCTAGTGGTCACTAGAGGGCGCATGCTCTCACCTTTCTTGAGCTGATGTAGCCCCAGAGGGTGCCAGAGGCCAGAGGCCATGCAGGACAGTGGCCCACATCTCACCCTCCGGACCGACCTCCTGGAGGTGCCTATGCCTGCTGTGTAACTGTGAGTGCCAAGCTCTTGTCTGTAGCCTGTGTACAGCAATGGGGGTGGGTCTCTGGAGACTCGACAGAGGAAGGGCTCCCTATGGAAGCTGTCATTCAGTGACCACTGTTTTCACAGGGCACCCAGGGTATCAGTCCCCTGCGACAATGTCCACACTGTGCCTGGAGTAAGCGATGAGCTGTGCCCACTGTGGCCTGCAGTGCTAAAGGGCTTTTCACACAGTGACCACTGGTACTGGTGTGAAACAAACACAGGGGCCCATATCTAAAGAGTGGATACTGCTACTAATAGCCAAAGAGTGGCATTCAATACTATTTAATATTCACGGAAGAGCATTTAATACTTTTTAAATTTCCGTGGAGCAGCCTCTAATACTAATTTAACATCCACAGAGTAATCCCTAATATTAATTTAGTATCCCTTTGGAATCTAATACTAATTTAAAATCCACAGAGTGGCCCCTAATACTTATTTAATATCCCAATGGTGGTATCTAATACTAATTTTATATTCACAGAGCAGCTTTTAACACTAACTGAATATCCACAAAGTAGCTTCAAATGCTTAATTAATACCCACAGAGTAGTGGCCTGTAATACTTATTTAATGTCCATATAGTGGCATATGGTATTAATTCATGTCCACAAAGCAAGCTCTAATACTAATTTCATACCCTCAGAGTAGCTTCTAATATTATTTTAATACCCACAAAGTGGCATCTCATAGTAAGGTAGCATTCACACAGCAGTGTATCATACTAATTTACTATCCAAAAGGTGGATATCCAAAGATGGTGTCTTTAATAATTTATATCCACAGAGTGGCCTCTATGACTAATTCATACCTACAAGTGCCTGTAATACAAATGTACCATCCACAGAGCATCCTGTATTATTTATTTAATATCCACATAGTACCTCTAATGCTAATTTGATATTCACAGAGTAGCCCTTTAATATTAACTTTATTTCCACAGAGAATCCTCTAATACTAATTGAATATCCACAAAGTGGTATCTGATATTAATTTAATATTCACAGAGTAGACTCTAATACTAATTTAATGTCTACTGGGTTTCCTAGTTTAATATCCACAAATAACCCACTAATACTGATGTCCACACATCAACATCTAATGCTAATTTAATATCCAGAGTAACCCCAACACTAATGTGACATCTATTTCATGGCTCGTAATACTAATTTAATATCCACAATGTGGCCTTGTATTACCAACACTGTGGTGTATACCACACCGTATACCATACTGTATACCACACTGTAGAGTTCTAATACTTATTATATGTGCACACGGTGGCCTCTTCATATGAAAAAATTATCCACATACAGTTCCTTGATACTATGATAGTATCCTTACTGAGGCCCCTCATTACTTATATCATATCTCTCTTGTGACCTACTGTACCCACAATGTGGAGTCCTAATGCCTATTAAATATGCACTTGGTAGCCTCTTCATATGAATAAATTATCCACATACTCTTCCCTGATACTATGATAGTACCCTCTCCGAGGCCCCTCATCACTTATATCGTATTTCTTCTGTGACCTACTATACCCACACCGTGGACTCTTGAGACTAATGTGATACAGAAGCACCTTTTTTTCTTGAGTCAGTGTCTTACTATATAGTCTAGACTGCCCCCAAACTCACAGGCATCCTCCCTCAGACTCCTAAGTATTTGGATTACAGGTGTGTGCCACAATTTTGGCTCCCTGTGGCATCTTAACAGTAATATAATGGTTATTAAATGTCCATAGTGTGGCCTGTAATACAAATTTAGTATTCACACACAAACTCATGGTATCAATATACTATCTGCTCTATGACCTCTGATACTAATAATATCCATGCAGTGTCCTCCAGTAATACCTAGATAGTGTGTGAAGTTAAGATGGAGTGTCACCCTGATTGGCTTTGAGATCTACCCAGGGGATTGGTGGTGTACACTTCTGGGTGTGTCTATGTGGGACATGGAGATATGACCTTGGTGTCTCTATCTGGTCACTCACTCCTTTCTCTCTGGTGCTGTTCCCCTGCTCTGCTTCTCTGCCACTATAAACTAAAGTGTTGCTCTGCTACACACTTCCTGCATGATGTTGCTGTCTTGGGTCCTGCCAACCATGGACTGAATCTCCCACAAACATGAGCCAAAGCTTCCCCCTCTAGTTGTGGGTGCCAGATATTCCATCTCTATGATGAGAAAGCTCACTAATCACTTAGCCAGTAGAGTGAGGTTTGATGTTTCTTTTTTTGGTTTGATATTGACATGAATGTTGTAAAAATACTTGGCTTCCCAATAATTTCAAACTTAGAAGACACCTGTAATTGTGTTACGAAGAACCCTTGATTTATTCACTCACTTTGTCCAGTGGTTCTTGATTTTTCAGATTTGCAACTCTATGTGAAACACTGCCAAGTATTTTACCCAAAGTAGAGACACTCCTAGGTGACCACCACAGAGGCCCCATGTCAAGAAATTAAAAGATTTCAACTTGAATAGCCAATCCTTAGGCCCCTTTTGCTTTTACTGTCTCTCTTGCCTGGGACAAAAATTCGTTTTTTTCATGTGGATCCAGTTTTCTTTTCTGGAACTCATGCTGAGACTCAGTCATTGTCATGACCTTGACAGATTTGAAGAATATATCCATTTTTATTTGAATACATGCTTTCTGTTCTTTTGGGCATCTACTTAGGAATGAAAGGATTAAGTAGTATAGTAAATCTATATTCAACTTTTCAAGGAAATGCTAGAGTATTTCACCCAGAGGCTGCACCATGTGTAAGGGTTCAAGTTTCTCCCATCTTTACCAACACTTGCTACCTTAAATTATACTGGTGATAGGTGCTGTAGTGGGAGTGAAGGGGAACTTCTCTGTGGTTGTAGTTTGCATTTGCTTAATGGCTGAGATGTTAAGCATGTTTGTGTTTTTATGTGGAAGGACTGGAGTTATCTGTTTCACATTCTGACTCTGGTATTTGTCTAGTCATCAGATCTCAGTGTCAACATTCATGGAGATGATGGCCCACGGGGCCATGGTCTTTCAGTTAAGAGATGAAATGTCACATCCAGCCTTTGGGTTCTTTCATTCCTAAGTCTGTAAGGGCTGAGTCTGTTCATGGCACTCCTCACCATTACATCAACAGTTCCTTGTTCTGACCAGCTACTGCAGCTAAAAAAAAAATCCCAGTTTTAATTTCCAGCTGTCTGCTCAGAGCTCTATCTTCACAAGTCATCGATTCTGCTGCATGGAAAGAGGTCATATCAGTAGAGGACGATGAGACCCACTGACACCACTTTGGCCTTAGGTCTATCCACATCTTCCCCCTGACCTTGACATGGATTCTCTGAGCCAAGGTTACTCAGGTGAGCATGTGCTGATTTCCATGGCCCCATTTTACATCTACTCAGATAATAGGAGATATGTAACTGGACAGGATCTTAGATTGGGAAGGAATAGAAATGAAACCCAGCTAAATATTCAGGCACACACACAGGGAAGTAAAACTTTGGGGCTTCAGCTGAAGGAAGGTAGCACTGAACAAGAAGAGGAGGGGACGGGCTGCTCACAGAACAAAGGGAGCCACGGACCTGTATGGATTTGCTGTGGTGGGGTACAGTCCCATAGTTTCCAGTGACCAAGGATATGAAGAAAATATTTCTTCTTGTGTGAGACATGGGCTGCTGTGTGGTCACGGTCAACTCATTGCCCAGGCTGTTTGATTTCTGGGTCATTAGTACCATTGTGGTGGGCAAAACATCCCAGCCTGTGGGTTTGGGCCCTATAGTAAGAGACTAAGAACTTTAGGAGTCTGTGCTGCTGTTTTGGTTGGGAGCCGAAAAGCAGGGAGACAGAAAGAAAACTCATAGCAGCTTTGATGAGAGTTTGGCAAAGTTAACCCTGCCTTATAATCTTGTCCAAAAATGTTTTATTGGTTTTTTATTATATGCTTATGATACATAGTAAATGCAATCATCGTGGGGAATTGGCATATATACATATCACATCTCAATCATTATTACTTCTCCTTCCCTCCCCATCTCCCTCCTCCCCATCCCAGGTCCCCTTCCAATCTCCTCAAAGTCTCCCTCCCTGTTTTTTAACACCTCTCTTTCACGCTGTCTTTAAATTATGTATATGTTTAGTATTTCATATAAAGGAAACCATTTGATATTTAACCTTCTGTATCTGGTTTATTTCACTTAGCATCAATATGCTTAGCATTAAGTCTCAAGATGCATCCATTTTCCCACAAATGAATCAAGTTATCAAGTCAGTCTGTCTGTCTGTCTTTCTTTCTTTGCCAGTCTCACCATATAGTCCCAGCTGGCCTCAAACTTGCAACAATCCTCCTACCTCAGCCTCCTAAGTGAGATTTTTCTTTATGGTGAGTAGTATTCCATGTAACTGATTTCCTTTATCCATTCATCTGTTGATGGATATGTAGACCATTTCTAAATTTTAGATATAGTATTATGAATGATGCTGCTATAAACATAGGAATGCATGTGTCTTTACATTTCTTAGGAAGATACCCAGATGGGTTATATCTAAGTCAAATGGAATTTATATTTTTAGTTTGAGGAATTTCTAGAGTGGTTATACTAGTTTGAATTCCCATTAACAATCTAGAAGGGCTCCCTTTTATTTATAACCTTTCCTGGATTTATTCTTTTAAGTTCTTGGTGATACTCATGCTCAGTGGAATAAGATGGAACCTCATGTTGTTTTGATTTGCATTTCTATAATGGCCAATGATGGAGAACATGTTTTTTCATGTACTTTATTTGCCATGTGTGCTGTTTTCATAACAAATTTTTTTATTAGGTCTTTCACTTTGGAGGGTCTCACTTTAGTTCTTTATTTTAGATGTTAGTTCTCTGTCCAAGGAATAGCAGACAAAGAATTTTCCAGAGTGGAGGTTGTCTCTTTGGTCTGTGGCTTGTTTCCTTTGCTGTGCAAAAGCCTCTCAATTTGGTAAATCCCATTTGTTGATTCTTAATATTATTTCATGTGCAATGGTTTTGTTCAGAAAGTCCTTGCCTGTGCCTAAGTCTTCAAGAGCTTTACCTATTTTATCTTCAGTGTTTCTGGTCTAATATCTAGTTCTCTAATCCATTTTGACTTGATTTTAGTACAGGATGTGTGAGATATGGGTCTGAATTCATTCTTCTGGATGGGGATCACCAGTTTTCCCAGCACCATTAGTCAAAGAGGCTGTCTTACCTTTGTCCAAAATCAAGTGGCTGAAAGTGCCTGGGGTTGTTTCTTCATTCTGAAATCTATTGTGTTGGTCAGCATGTCTGTTTTTGTTCCTCTACTGTGATATTTGCATCCCTGTACTTTTGTGGTATAACTTTAAATCTGAGGTTGTAACGCCTCCTGCTTTGCTCTTGTTGCTCAGGGGTGCTTTAGCGTCTTCAGTCTCTGCCGATTTCTTTTAAGTTGAAGGAGTGTGCCTTGTAGTTCTGAGAAGAATGCTGATGGTGTATTGATTAGAATTGCATTAAGCATGCATATAACTTGTGGAGTCTCACCATTTTGACGATATTGTTTCTGCTTATCCATGAACAGGGGATGTATTTCCAGTTTCTCCTCCTCCCTCTCTCCCTCCTCCTGCCTTGCTCTCCTGTACCATAGTTTTTATTATAGAGGATTTTCATTTCCTTTGTTATGCCAATTCCCAGGTATATGATTTTTTTGAAGCTATCGTGAGTGGGATTCTTGATTTCTTTCTCAGTGGGTTCATGATTGGTGTACAGAAACAGTATTGAATTGTACCCTGAACCATCTCCCATCATTATGTCTTCTATGGTTTGGTATCTGTTCAGACATTTACCTACTTTTGGTTGGATTCTTAGTTGTTGACATTAAGAATTATTTTGGTAGGGGGGAGGCAGTGGGGATTTGTAGGAGGGGCGTGGCCCTGCAGAGGCTGAAGACGGAGCTCTGGGCTGGGAATCCCCGGCTGTGTCTGTGGTAAGGGTAATGGGTGAGGCCTGAGGTGCCAGTTCTGTGTATTCCAGGCTAGACCCTGTGTCCAGGCTGGAACAGTTGGTGTCCCTGTCCTCTAGAGCTCAGGACCAGCCCTCAGCTTCCTGGCCCTGGGCAGGTTGGAGCAGACAGGAGCAGCCAAGGGACCACAATAGGTCTGAGAAGTTTTGGCTCCCCAGTTCCATTTGCTTTTCCTTTTCTTCATAGTGGTGGATGGGATGGAACCCAGGGCTTGGGCATGCCAGGCAGGCTGTCCACCCTGAACCATTCCCCAGCCTTCACCTCAGAAGGGACCCTGCCACTCATGGGTCTGGGAGTGGTATGGGCAGTGTAGCTGTGGGTTGCTCTGCCTGCCAGGCACTGTTCCACGTCAGAGGTGGAACTTGCCACCCCCAAGGCCCAGGAGAGGACCTGGGATCAGAGACCCCTGATATGTGCACTGCCCACAGCCTTGCTGCCACCTGTGCAGGGTCTGGGCCCCCAAGACCCTCTACACCAGCAGGCCTCCATTGCCCCTCAGTTCCCTGTGGTGGTCCTCATCTTTTCTGAGTCTGCTGCTCCCTACCCTGACCTGGCTTAGTGCCTGTCTGTCCTTACCTGAATAGATGCAGCATCTTTTTCCAGGACTCAAGTGGGGCTGGGAACAGGGGCTTTTGCATGTTCTCAAGGTTCTTTCCCTGGGGAGGGGGCTCTCCTTTGAGGGCAGGGTGGGGCCTGCTGCATCCCAGCCTTGTTAGCTCACATCTTATCAGCTTGCCTGTCCTTTGGCCCACGCTGCTGCTGCCTGGAGGTGGTGATCTAGGTGTGGAGGTAAGTGGGAGGCTAAGGGTCAGGGGTGGGGCTTGGTCCCCCAAAGGAAGAACAGGGTATAGTGGGGGTGAGGTGAGTCGCCCAGTGTTGGAGGTCACTGTGTGGGGAGCAATGGTGAAGGGCAGCTGAGGTCAGGGAACCCACATGGGCACCTCAAAGGAGAGGTGCTAGTGAAGAGGACACTGGGGACTTGCAGAGGGGCAAGGGGTAGGTGGCGAGCACTTGGGGATCCACTTATCCATGAGCAAGATCATGCTCAAAGAGGCAGAAGAGGTCCTAGGAGGGGTCATTGTAGGGGTCTGTATGTGGATTTCCTGCCCAGCTCAGGAGATAGCTTTGGCATTGGGTGAGAAATCACAGGTACAAGGCCAGAAGCATCTAGATCCAGAGCCAGACTGGGAGGAGGAGCCCACCTGGGCTGTAGGGGTCAGGTGGGGTGACTCAGGGAGCTGAGGATGATACAGAAAAGTTTTAGATAACTTAATAGATTAAATATTAAGGTAGTTGTAGAAGAAAAATAAGTAATGTGTTCTTTTAAGATTTGCTTTTCCCATAACTCCTTGTTTAAGGTGATAATTATCTGACTCTAACCAGTAACTTCATTAATCTAACAAAGTTACCATGCCAGGGTGAATTTACAATGTATATGGCCTATCTTGTGTCTGTGACTTGTACATAGGAACTGCAATTGTATTTACACATCAAAGACCACTAGAGATGAGATAATGGCTAAAAAGGATATAAAAAAGGAAACGCTGAACAAAGGGCGCACAGATACTGACCAGACTGGTTTCTGGCGTTTCCGCCCACTCGTGAGAAGAAATTTTATTATTTTATCTGAATTCTGTGTCTCTGTGTATTTCTTTCCGAGATTTCTGTAACAAGGACACTGAGTTGAGGGCACTGGGAGTGCGTGCAGGCCATTGTGAGGGGACAGAGTCCTTGTGAAGACTGGCTGGAGGTGCCTGCTAAGTGTGGGGCCGATGAAGCAGGGTTTGGGGTGCAGAGGCCTTGTCCTGAGGGAGGGGTTCCTATGTGCTGTGCCCTTCCTAAGGGCTTGGCCTTCTACCTTTTCTGCCCCTTCCTTCTAGGAAAGGCCACATGCTGCCCCTACCTTGTGGATGAGTTAGTCAAGGGCCTGGAAGAAACCCCAGGCAGGCTCTATGGCTCCCTAGCCTAGAGCTGGGAGACAGATGTCATGGGAGTTGGATGCTGTCCTCACCATGGCCAGGGGAGTTGTTTTTGAAATAGCAATGTTGCCAGAGCCCAGATGTGCTTGCTGTCCTGAGCCCAGCCTCCACACACCATGGTATAGGGCTGGTCCAAGAAGGTTCTGGTCCAAATTTCCTGTAGGAACTGGGTCGCTCCCTCCCAGGTGTGCAGAGCAGCCTGCAGCCACAGGGACATTGGGCACCTCTTCAGGGTGGCTTCGTGGCCTGGCCATGCTGCAGGGGAGGGTCTCTTGCAGTGCAGAGAGGTGGGGCTGTGACCAAGGCTGGGTAGTGCTGCGAACTTCCTGGGGACCCAGTGTTGCCTGGGCTTTTCTGGTGGAGTCACCTAGGAAGAGCTGTGACCAACAGGACCACCAGAGCTGGAGACAGGGTTGCTTCTGGGCAGGTTTAGTGAGACGTTTCTTTGAGAATTTAAATATGTGCTTCCATTATGTAGAAAACCTCAGCAATGGATTTTTTTCCCTTGGTACCGGGGATAGAACTCAGGACCTTGCGCTTGTGAGGCAGGTGGGGGCACCACTGAGCTAAGTCCCTGGCCCAGCAATGGATTTTTTTTTTTTGAGACAGGGTCTCCCTATGTAGTTCAGGGTGGCCTTGAACTCTCTGTGATCCTCCTGCCTCAGCCTCCCAAGTGCTGGGATTACAGGCATGTGCCACCATGCCCAGCTGCAGCAATGGAATTGATTACAGTAATGGCTTTTATGTGACCAAAGCCAAATTGTGAACTCACAGCTCCTGCAGAGGGTGAGAGGAGCCAATTTGCATAGTACTCTTTTTTTCTTGAGAAAAAGGTCTTGCTGTATGCCCAAGTGGGCCTCCAGTTCTTGGGCTCAAATGATCTTCCTGCCTCCGCCTCCTTAATATTTGGGATGACAGGTGTGCACCACGACTCCCAACTTGCGCGACATTCTGGATGTCTTACTAGGTAATGTCAGAGGGAGGCAGGGCTCCTGTCTGCTGTGTGTGTAGCATGGGGCCTTGCAACAGGAAGCAGCACAGCTGAGGACAGAGTGGCAGCTCGGGTCACGGGCGGGGGGAGATGGGCAGTGGCAGAAGATGAGGCCTGGGTCCCCAGGGGGTCCAGGCAGGCTTGAGCTGGTGGCTGGGCATTGCTGGCCACACCTCTTG